ACACCTTTATTATGACACGAAATGGCTGAAGAAAGTCGATTGACAGTAATACTGGCAGTCAACTAATACGGCTTCACTCAATCAGAAGGCGGTGCATGTTTTTTAAATAAAATTCGAAGGTTTCTTTAAATTATTATTTATCCTTCCTGTACCTAACTCCAACCTTACGAAGAACATTTTGGATTTAATTTGAATGAAAGCGAAAGTGTGGGGTGAGAGTTACATCGTCCAATTTGACTGAAGGAGGAAGTACCGCCTTCGGGAATTCGGCATCACGCTGCGTCAGCCGCGCTAAGCACGCGGAAGGGAAAGTATTTTCTAGAACACTGACAGAGGCTTCGAATACAGTCAGCATTTCATTCTCTTCTCTTCAAAATGTCTCGTTCCAATGGATGTCCCTGCAAAAGTAACAACAAAAAAGGAAGATGGTACGCAGGGTGACTTACTTTCGCCGTTTCCTACGGGCAATCACTTTGGTGTGAGGAAGCTTTCCCGTTCTCTGTATTGATCTGATCCGAAAGTATCGAAAGTTTTGCCGCCATGGAGCATATTCTTTTTAGTTCCTGTCCAATTATAATTTTACAAGACCAGGATTTCCCACATTTATCGAATCCTGACACACCTGAATTTAAAGGGGGAAAGGTCGATTTACAATCACTCACAATAACAAGCGGCAATTCGTGCGTCACATTGGTGACACGTCGCTAATCAAGAGTTACGTTTTAAATCATGTGTTAAATTATTTGTCGGGTCAAGTGTCGTGTCACGTCACGTGTCACGTCACGTGTAACTTTACGTGTCACGTCCCGTGTCACGTCCCGTGTCACGTCCCATGTCACGTCCCGTGTCACGTCCCGTGTCACGTCCCGTGTCACGTCCCGTGTCACGTCCCGTGTCACGTCACGTGTCACGTCCCGTGTCACGTCACGTCACGTGTCACGTCACGTCACATGTCACGTTTCAATCACGTTACACGTCACGTGCCACGTCAAGTATCACTTGATGTGTCACGTCAAGTGTCACGTCTTTTGCCATATTATGTGTGCACGTGATGTAATGTGCCGCCCACCTGTGAGGTCAATGCGTCGCCCGCCGCGTGCTTGGAAGCCGACGGCGCCGCCGCCGCCGACCCCCCCCCAAAAAAAAAAAAGAAAAAAAGAAAAAAGGAAGATTGACTGGCGCAATTGTGTTAAAGCGAATAAAAAGTGGGTGGGGAACCTCACAGAAGTGTAGAAGAAGAATACTTAACGTGGGGTCTTAAATGGAAAAACTTCAATTCCTGTTTTTTCACAAAAAAAAAAGCGTTTTTTGTTTAATAGGTTGGCTGCCTTATTAAGCTGGGCGCTTTTTATCAAGGTGGCCCCCCCGTTTCTTGAGCAGTTTTCCACTGTCTTTGCATTTATTAGTAAGTGTGATTTAGGGAGATTAAACAAAAAAATAAAGTAATATAAAAATTATAAATGATGTAATTTAATTATGCATTTATAATAATTGCCTGGAAAATATATTTCGGCCTTCCAATAAAACTCCCTTTATATGGTGTCGACTCTTATATGGTAATGATAACACCGAGTAATAGTATCTGTTAGATGTGATAGAATACAGCTCATGCGTTACATCAATGTTTTATGCGATTGTTCGTCCGGGGAGTGTATAAGTGAATGGGGGGTGTCAGATGCAACTCACTGGAAAGATGAGAGAGGCGGGCCGGCGGTCCAGCGAAGACCGGGAGTGTTAGTGAAGGCTGGGGGAGTTGCAGATGTGCAACTCACTGGAAGAATAGGAGGAGGGACGCGCGGCCGGAAGAGCAGGGAGTGTGTAAGTGATAGCGGATGTCAGTGGCAAACGTCACACTGGAAGATGAAGGGAGGGGCGCCTGTGGTCCGCAAGAGCCGGGAGTGTATAAGTGAACGGGGGGGGTCAACAAAACTCCACTGAAATGAGGAGAGCGGGCCTCCGGTCGCGAAGAAGGAGTGTATATAGTGAAATGGCGGGAGTCAGATGCAAACTCACTGGAAAGATGAAGGAGCGGCCCGCGTCCGCGAGAGCACGACGGGCGGCGCGCTAGCGCTCGATTTTGCGCGCGAGATCTGCAAGTCGCCCGCGACTGGTCGGTGTCTGTGGCTCGCCGGTTCTCGACTCAGCTGCAGGAAGCCCGCCTCGCATGCAGCTGCAACACGACAACACATAACACCCTGCTACAGACGGGAAGGGTGACAACCCACAACGGACTATCGGTGAGGTCCAAGGGGGCTGTGTTTCGACAGGCATACATTATGTCGCCAATTTCAACAATAGAGAGGATCGGTGGCAACGGCGT